CAATGCACCGAGCCCAACCTGAATACCACTCACCCGTGGAGATCGCGCTGATTGGGGAAAACGATGTACGGTGCATGCACTTTGACATCCAGATCTATCATCTACACACATCGGTCAAGCACAGAGGTACAGCATAGAACAGGTCTATCATCTACATATTGGTCAAGCACAGAGGCACAGCATAGAACAGGTCTATCATCTACCGATACACACTTCGGTCAAGCACAGAGGTACAGCATAGAACCACAGTACATGACATGCCTCCATCAAGATACGACTAGCCTCTCCTGCATTGCTCAGCCAATAGGCACAAAACAAAAAAGTGTTACATCTCTCATACTATACACATAGAGGTTCACAATCTCAACATTTCCCCTTCGGTTCTTCCTATAGTACACGCACACATCGCAATGACATTCATAATCAACATCGCATCCGGTCAATTGTGGCAATCTGTAACCTTCCATCAGGCGTGCACGTAAGAACATGATACACATATTATTTTGCTTTGTTCTTCATGTCACATTCGATGGAGATTCACCGATGAACGTAGATGAAAACTTTTCTGAACCTTTAATTAATACCATGCATATATCATTCTACTACTGTCTAATACATTACGGTACTATGTCAGCATGACTGTTATATTTACAGCAACAATGGTCTTGTCTGTGGCACACAGACACACATGTAGTTGCCAAACTGATTGCCAGCTTGTAAGATTTCAACCGCTGCTGGAATAGTGATAAGGTAAAGATTCATCCAGTCGAGTACCAAATACTTTACTATGCATAGCTCCCTGTCAACTCAATCACCGTCCGTACCCATCCAGTCGAGTACCAAATACTTTACTATGCATAGCTCCCTGTCAACTCAATCACCGTCCGTACCTTGCGCTTCTCAAGTGCATCGTAGATCTCAATCTTGCTGATTTCCTTCAAACCCTGCCGTATCTCTTGCAGCTTGCGATTGGCAGCGGCTGACACACTACGGGCACAAAGAAAAATATGAAAACCCAAAACAATACTAGTACCCCAAGTCAGTCCCGTGGACAACCACACTGTGACACAGAACTCAGCACTCGTCCAGGAGAATGGCTTCTACACGTTACAGATGATGTGTGCATCAGTAAAGACAAACCTAGATGAGATCTTCTTTCAAACTTTTTTAGTATTCTCTACTGTGGATGGGTTCTGGACAAGGGGACTACAGGCTGAGAGGACAGAATGCATACATATATGTTGTGAGATATCATTTTCATATCCAATAGTTGGTTCCTGTCATCTGGTAGCAAGCGCCCCGTTTTGTCACAACGTCTGATTTGGAAAACTCCCATCGTACAAGCAGGTGAGACATCTATATTTGGACTAGCCCAAATATTATTGAATGCCTCATTCGGCAGCCTTAATTCATATGCCCCGGACAAACACAGGAATTCTGTTCAAAAGAGGGCACATGTCGGCCCCAGTACATGTATCTGCAAACAAGCCTTACCTTGTCAATGCCAGAGGCTCGGGACGGTCGAAGAAACGGACAACCTCAAAAGCCGACTCCTACCAACAGCAGAACGAGGACAACATACCGACAGCAGAACGAGGACAACATACCAACAGCAGAACGAGGACAACATACCGACAGCAGAACGAGGACAACATACCAACAGCAGAACGAGGACAACATACCAACAGCAGAACGAGGACAACATACCAACAGCAGACGCTAATGTATACAGTAATGCCATGTGCTGAAGTAAAGAATGAGGGGAGGGGGATAATGCACCAGCCTGGACTCGTTCTTATTTGTCAAAGCTCCAGCCTCTCTTATTTTGCTTGACGTGGCCACAGTTTTCATGCAATATTATCATGAAACCTATTCCAACTTCACAACATTCCACCAAGAGTAATTCACAGAACTACACTAAACATGAAGTTGGTTGTTCCAACTAGGAACACACGCTTCTTGCCGAACTTGACACGTCAATGACTCACGAGGGGTGCTTTCTTGCAGGTTTGCCGAGTGGAAGGTGCGACGTGCTCCTCGTGTGCTCCGGATGGCAGTCGTGAGTCAGTCAAGTGTCAGGTTCGGCAATAAGCGTGTGTTCCTAGTTGGAACAACCAACTTCATGACTAATACCGCCAAAGTCGCAACTTCTAAGTTTACATTAAACATATTTAGAATAATGTAGGGCGCATCACGCAGCTTTATTAGTAAAAATGGGTTGTGAACAACGCTGGCTCACAATCAATCACTGCATTTCACAAATTCATTTCATTTTTTCCTGAAACGAATAATTAGTGAAATGCAGTGATTGAATGTGAGCCAGTGTTGCTCCCAACCCATTTTTACACTGAACATATTCTTACCAATCATTCCACGCCACTGGCATCTTCCCACCTTTGGGAGAAATGCCAGCCTAGCAGTTCTTTGGTACCCAACAACACTAAACTCCAGCACACACTATAATGCCAGTTGGTATAATAAATCACCTGGTATTATATTGGGTGTGCTGTTCTATCGCAGTGATGATGAATCAGAATTTATGATCTCCCTTTATTGAAACGTCAATGTTTGTCTTTGTGCCAAGCAGCAGTCCAGCTGTTTTCCGTGGGTAGAAATATGGTAGCAGAGCAGGGTTAGTCAGTATGAGTAGTAGTCATGCCGGAACAAGAAAGTGAAATATGTCACTTCTCTGCGGTTGACGTCACAGTATGAGAATTAGCAGAGAAGTAGTGTTCTCTGTCCACCCGGGAACGGGTACGAGGGAGCACGGTGTGGGATAAAAGGAGGTGACGAGTGCAGGGTCGGCCTCTTTTGTCTTTGTGCGGAGAGTTGAGTGAGAGTTGTGAATTATTTAATTTGAAAGTTTTGGTTCGTGAAAAGAATGTCGAGGTCAAGAAGTGTGTCGCCGAGTGGTAGTGGTAGTGAGAGTGAAGGGTATGTTGAGGAGAGTAGGAGGATGAGAGAGATGGCTGCGAGATTGGAGACGTTGGAGAGGAAGTTGGAGAAGTCTAGTCGTAAGAGGAAAAGAGAGGATAGGAGTGACAGTGAGAGTGAGAGTGAGTCAGAGAGGAGCAGAAGCAGGAGAAGTGGCAGGAGTAGAAGTAGCAAGAGAAACAGCAAGAAGAGCAAGAGGAGCAAGGAAAGTAAGCAGGTGAAGAGGGAGAGACAGGACGAGAGGATGGCGGCGGCAAGAAAGAGAAGTTGGAAGGCCAAGGCCCACGAGGAGCAGTTCTGCGTGATCAGTAAGGCGTTGGAGCCTCTAGCCAAGGCAAGGCAGAAGGCGGAGCGTCGAGGCGAGAAAGACATCGCCAGAAACATCGAGGAAGGTGAGAACGTCCTCCAGCGGCGCGTCAAGCTATTGCTGTTTGCGGACGCCGAAGGGTGGTCGGCCGCAAACATATATGACGGAAAAATGGAGTGCGGGTCCGATACGGACGATGAGCGGAGGATGAGGAGGGCCAGGGCGGAGGCCAAGGAGGGGAAGATTATGCTGTGGTGGCCCCCACTGGCAATGTTCACGTGTTCAATAGTGGTGTACACGTATGAGTGAGTGTGCGGATGTGTGCGCAACGAGTGAGTGCAGGGTGGACAGAGAAGTGTCAAGATGCTGAGGATTCCACGATGCAAGCGAGTGGGTCCGAAGTAGTGGAAGGGCAGGATGCCATCAGCGCAGCATCCGCGCCGCCAACGGAGCTTGAAGCTCAACAGCAACGACGCATATTGATCACCAAGGCCAAAGCGGAAAATATGCAGCGGAAAAGAAATTTTACTTGTGCAAAGCGCGCTCTGCGTGTGGTGCTCCGAGGTCAAGTCGTGGACGCAGTTGGCGCCAATGAGTTGTTCCAGGACTTAGAAAAAGCCGAACAAGGTGTCAATAGTATCTTGCTTGAGTTGCAAGGGATATTCGAGCTGTTTTCCACGGGTACAACTGAATCTATAACATTCGGACACAAGGGGAAAACCTACCGTGAAGTAGGTAACACGCAGCAGCAACGACAAAGACGTGCATTGCGTACTAGGGCGGATAAAGCGCTGTGGTTTGCAGAATCCTTCGGGTTCAACATACAATTCTTGCATCTGCGGGAACGTCAAACGCAGGAAGAGGTGCACCACCAATTCTCCAATGAAGATATGCACGAAGGAAGGAGTTATCATGACAGCTGGCAACTGTGACAACAAGTGGAAGACGCTGTTGAGCGTCTAAGCAGGTAGAGGACCACAACTCCAAGTCAGGCAACGATGCCAAAAAAGATTCACCCTTCCATACGAAAACTGGAGCAATAATCGGCGACCGGGCTTCAACAAGGCCAAAGTCCCTTGTGGGTTCTGGACATACCGTCCCTGCAGCCGTCCCCGTGGAGAGTTCCCCAGCATCCTGGGCAAGTGAGCCGTCTTCAACTGGAGATGCTGAGGGTGGTGTTATCAGCTTGGTTGCTGGCATGACACGTTCAGACAGTGATGAGCCTGACAGCGACGTGGACTCTGCTCAGCCTCAAACCAAGAGGGTCTGCACTACACCCATTCCAGCAGCCAAATGCAAGCAGATGAGGGAGAGCGAGACCATGCCAAAGAAGAGGACGGCAGCAGGAAATACCTCGCCTATGTCCATTTTTTCAGACCGGACTTCCAGCGTTACAGAACAAAATGGAAAATTATCAACGTGCGAAGGAAAAACATGGAAGAAGAAAATCAGATACAAAATGAGCAGTTTCCCTGCATGCTTGAATACACAGCGACACGAGCACGTGCAATTCACGCCGTTCGATTTTTGGAAGAGATTAAACCAGTTCCAATAATTTAAGATTCAAACATCGATTTATGGGCGAAATCGAATGCACCTATTGTATGCTTGAGTATAGTATTGCAGTACTTTTCTTGTTGGTCATTGGAGTGATAATATCATCACTCAAATAACCGCCAACAAAAAGCACTACACACATGTTGATACAACATACGGTCAGTACAGAAACGTGTAATCGCAGGGTCCAGCACAACAGCGC